GAAACCGGAGAAAAATTGAATTAGTTTTCATTTTGTCGACAAAACATGATACTACAGACAAAGTACATATGTGGCGTCAATGATTTCTGACCTACTTTTGTTTTCTGCCAATGAATCTTTGAATACGATTCCAAACCCCTTGTATTACACACTGTGACTATATGGGAGTCGCCTAAATTGGACATTTTTGACAGACACAGAAAGACTCCTCATTATAGCTGCCATCATACTTTGTATTATCAACGTTGACGGTCAGATGATGCGAATAAAGTAAAAAGAAGGATTTGTACATTCATTTCATCAGACAATTTTAAATACAATGACACCCTTACCTTGCGATTTGTGTTTTCGTATATTGCTCTTGACAAATATAGCATCATACCGCACTGTATTACGTGACAGTGAAAGTTTTCGATGTTCATACATATCCATAATTTTGCAAAGATAAATTAGTTTTTCTGGTAAGCAAATTTGTTTATTTGTTTGATAATTGTAGTATAATTAGTGTCTAAGTTTTCCCAATAGTACTAATATGATATCCATATTATGTTATCTCACTTTATTTGTAATTACGTCATAAATTGCAATTAATGATAGTTTATGAAAACCAAGTAAATAAATAACATTCTAGCACTATTAAAAGAACGTTGATTTCATAAGTCACTTTTCAAATGCAGTAATTTCCAGGTGCAATTTTTGTTTTTTCATATGGTCGTAAAATGTAGGAATTTGTAGGTTTTACTGCATTTAAAAAGTTATAATATCCAAGTTATTGAAATATCAATATATACTAATTATTACAGGACCAGCTGCAGAATAAAAGATTGAGTAATGTTATATAAGTAAGTGAATACCAACATATCTAAGAAAAATCGTGTTAATTTAAAAAGCCGATTTCCAATGTATGAACATGCTTCGACGAAAACCAGGTCAATTCACTTCAACTGTTAACAATAACCATTGATTGTCTGTGTCTTAACAGAAGATTCGTCTGTAGCATAACAAATTATTATGCTAATGAGGAGAGACTTCAATGCTATATTTTGTATCAATGAAGGTCTCAACCCGGGTGGTAAAAATAACATGATTATATATATATTTTTAAACTGTAATTCAGTGTATGATATGTAAAGTTAGAATTTAAATGTTTAAAGGTTTCAGTGGTGAATTTGCTTTGTACGAATGGAGATGGCAGTAATATGATATAATTCGCTCCCACGAGTTATCTGACGGTTCGTTTTACTGTATTGTAACAAATATACATCCATATGTGTTCGGAGCAATTGCTTTATGAAAGGACCAAATGTTCAACACCATATAGCATATATTGTATATTCCGGTAATACAAAACCTAATTGTTATGGCAGTAGTCGTCATGTACTCATCTCAACATGCCCGACCTTTTATCGATTTCATTCACTTGTCAGTATCGTCTGGGTTGCTGACATGACCGCATTGTAATACGTAGAAACATATGTGTTTGTATGCATACCACGCAATCGGTAAAGTTGAACGCTTGTTAGTATTTTAAACATGGGTATTACTTTCCGAGTTTGGGATAAGCATATTGATTTCGTCACAGTATTTATGAATTCAGAAATACAATTAATATATTGTATATCCGAAAAATAACTAAAATATCAAACGGGAGTGCGTGAATTAGTGTGGAAATGTTATGACGTAATAGCAAATAAAATGAGATAGCATAATATCGGTAACATGTAGGGGAACTGGTTACTATAGGAATACTATAGTTATTATTTACGATAGAGTAGTTACTAATATTATACTTTAATTATGAAATTATGGTTGTTATCAATAGAAGACTAATCACATACTTCTTATTATCAATCAATTATTAAAAACGATGAACCCCTATTCTTATCAGCATTAAGAAAGAATATCGATTTTCGTAAAATAAATTATAGTTTATGGAAATGTACTACTATTATCAACACAGTACGATACGATATGAATGTGGCAAATACTAACTACTGATGACAAAGGTAAATCCACAAATGATCACCAATACATTTGTTTGGCTTAAATCCTATTGCAAAGGGCAGTGATCGTCGTGGCGCGTCCTGTTCTATATGGGACTCATAGCGACGTATACAACGCGAGTAAAATACATTGTTTGTTTACATGAAATTCGAACACGCGCTGCGCGACGACCACCGCGCTTTAAAGTTTCCTTCTTATTCTTGTATTGAATAATGACCCCACTGCCAATCATTGTTTTCTGTTTATAATCAATGTAAGGAGTGCATTTAAAGACATGAACAGATTTGTAGGAAAAAAACTTGTCTTTTGAGAAAATTTTGTGGACAGCATTCACAATTACTACTAGATCACGTTTGATTTGTCAAAATTATATCCTTACTTACTTAATATTTGATTTGTGTAAAAATATAAGACCAACCATGATGGGTGTGAACAGTCATCAAGGTAAGCTTGCTCATTCCTAACACTTGGTACTACCTTTAAGACGTCAGTGATTTATGATGTTAATTACTCTATTTTGTTAACAGTGATCTACGTCTTGTGGTCCTAGCAACATTGTGTTTCTTTGTAACGCATCGAACACTCCTCATATTTGCCTTATTTTTTCCTCAGTCGATTTTGAAGACCTTTGTAAACGTTTTACACGCAACTGGTGATTTTAGCGGACGTGGGTTTTAAAATATGGAAATACATACAATTGTTAATTTACGTTTTTCTAATTCATTATGCACACTTCTACCTTGCACCTTCTACTGCTTGAACATAGCTTGACTGATTTGAGCGGATAAGAGAGTGTCAATTTCGTCGTATTTGGTCTCTTAATTAGACCACTTTGAAAATTAGATTGGATCGCTTTTTAACAAATGGCAGCAGATATATATCCCTGTCTGGAAAATTAAAAAAGAAACGGTAGCCAAGAACAAGAAAAATAACCCTCATTGACAGATTGAACCAGAAGTTGTGATAGAAGCCTATTTCTAGTGACACAACTTCTGAATAATCATGCTAAAATTGCAAATACTTTTTCCACTGTTGGCGCCAGTATTATAATCGTTTTACTTTGTCTATGGTTGCCGAATTGTCAAATTCCTACTATATACAACTAGTGTAATATCGAGTAAAGTCATTGATCATTACTCCAATAAGAGATGTTTTCAAAACGAAATATATAATATAAATGCTCATGCTCTGTTACCGTGGTAACGAATGGTTACCAAAATTGGTTTAATAATAAAACGTTGTTCTTTTGAATATCTATGGTATACTAAACAGTGGTATGGTTTGTTTTACTGAAAGGTAACGACATTTATACTCTTATATATTATATTTATATATAACAGGGATAACTATTGATAACTATTGCTAACCATGGTAACTTCAAATACTTGAATCTATGGCAGACATTTATCAAATTAAATAAACATTCATTCTTTTTATAACCTCATACATATTCATATTGAGTATTTCTTCTTTACATCTCAACCCAGAGAAGTATGATCCTACAATATATTCAATAGAACTGAAAAAAATCAAAACAAACATTCGATTGTAATCTTTAAACTATATCATTTAAATTATTTGAATTTCCCGATGTTCTCGTCTCTATTACATTGTATTGGGCACCGTATATTTGCATTTTTTATACATTTATTTTCATGTTCACTTGGAAATGATAAACTTTTTTTTTAGAATTTTATTGTGATTGTCACTTTCCGAATTTTAAATGTCGTACCAGTAATTATATAGTCACAGTTTAATTATTATAGTTTATCTGTTAGATAATGTAAACTAAAAGTGAATATAGAGGGAGTAATGAATGCCATCGTTCTTCATAATTCAGGCACGTGTCGGTGTGCCCGTTAGTTGGTTAACTATTTCCTCTGGTGTACAAAGTGAGATTATATTGATATGCAGCATTAATCTTTCACACAGTTGAGTAACATCGTCGCCCCCGCTAGCTAAAAAAAACAATTATCAAATTAGGTTTTACGTAATAAGAAAGTTGTTCAATTACACAATTGTGTAATGATATATTTTTTGGCAATATAAAATTTGTATTTAACCTTCATGAATAATTACTGCCCGGTATTGTCGATGTCAAATGTCTTATCACAGATCCAAATGATTAATGTTTTTTCATCGCTGTATTGATAGCATACTGGGAATTGTACAACCACTCTTCGGTGTGGACACAACACTCATACAATCATCACCCTGTTGCTATTGGCAACTGGTCGTTAATTAATATTTCATACATGTGACACGATTGTCATTTGTTTGTGCCAGCGGTTACAACCACATTAATGGGGAATAATATTAGGTTTAATAAGCATCCTTCATTGCGTTTATACGTGTCTCGGTGCCACTATCCTACAAGCCAATGTAACAGTGTGAATCACTGTGTGGATCACTTTCTCGTAAACTGATTGTTATATCAATAGATCGCGTGCATGCCTTCGCCAATCAACAGACGTCTCGAAAAATCGCTACAGTTTACCTATCTCTATTTGTATTTGGCGGATTTGTTGTGCGACACGACACTATGGAGAGAGAAGCACGCATCAGGTACCGGGGTATGTTTTTTAAAATGTTTTCTTGCGTCGATCGATATTTACATTATGGATGTTCTCGCTCGGTCTGCACTATGTATAAGCAGACCGCGGCTTGCTGAAGTATTCGCTTGAGCTGCAGACGTTCTCCTACATTAGCTGATCATATGCCACTATCAATATCAATACAGTGGCTCTGAGAACGATGACAATTCTACTTAGTTGATGAGCAATTCCATAGTAATACAAAATATGGAGCAGGCGTACATTTTGAACACTACTTTTAACGGACCAGCTAACCCAGCCCTGGCTAATATCTCTACGTTCGATAATACTGTTAATCTACAATCCTTTCGGATAGTCATTTCTACGATGTTTATTTTAGTTTGCGTGTGTGGTCTCCTTGGAAACGGTTTAGTTATCTTCATTTTGCTCCGTTTCAGCGATATGCGAACTGTTCCGAATGTATTCATCTTAAACTTGGCGTCCAGTGATTTTCTCTTCATGCTAGGGATTCCGTTTCTTCTGCAGTACAACATGCAAGGACAATGGATATTCGGAAACGGCATGTGTAAAATAGTACAGTGTATTGATTACATCAACATGTTTACTGGAATATTCACCTTAACAGTGATGAGTTGTGATCGATATTTAGCGCTTGTTTACCCGTTAAGATCAATGTCACTACGGACAGTTAAGCACGCTCGCATAACCTGTATCATATTGTGGATTATTTCTATTCCATTGACTTTACCGTTGTGGTTGTACTCCACCGTTTCCCAAGCTACCGACGGGTCAAACAAGACATTGTGTGTCACGAGCTGGCCTAATGAGTACATTGAGAATGGTTTTTTTTTACTCGTATTCATCGTTGGATTTGCACTTCCCATATTGCTAATATCTCTCTGTCATATCGGCATTTTACGACATGTTGTCTACATGAAGAAGAGGATTAACCTTGGAAAAAACTGTTCTCAGTTTTCAATGAAAATAACCATTATAATCCTTCTAACTGTTATCGCATTTGCGATATGCTGGTTGCCATATTGGGTACTCTTACTACTCAGAGCACTTGGAGACCAGGAGGTTACTCTAGAGTACTTCATAGTCTTCAATATTGCCGTGTGTTTGAGTTATTTCAACAGTTGCCTTAATCCGATTATATACACATGCGTGGGCAAAGATTTCCAAAACAGAATGTCTGGTTGTTTTCAATGTTCCAAACGAATAAGAAGCAACAGCAGACGATACACATCGCCGACCACAACAAACGCTCGTATGACAAGATTATAATATTTGGAGGCGTATACAAAATCTGAGATAAGTTTTTCCTTTTTTGTAGATCCGCATTTAATCAATATTTAAACAATGTTAAAAGATGACTCGAAGATTTCTGTCAAAGAAATGCGTTCAAAAATAAGTGATAGAAAGAGGCTAAACAAACAAGTACGTAATTATGTTCTGAAGACTTACAATATAATTACGTTACAGAGATAGAGCTGTTAGTAACTGGTATTATCAGATTACCACCGGTGTTCAATGCGTTTTGACGATGATGTCGTTCTCGTCGTTGTTGTTGTCGTTGTTATTGTTGTTGCTGTTGCTGCTATTGTTATTATTGCTATTTACAAATGAGTATAACAATCGCTGTCATGGTGCAGTATAACATGATAGACCACGTAATGTTAGACAAATTTAATGAAGGCTATATTTTAGTTTACAAATCCACATTCTGACGTGTTGACTTCTGTATTCCTACGTTCACATATGTTCACCAACGTAGAAGTTGCGCTATTTGTGACGAAGCGCTTTTGTGACATGAATGCGCGTACGTGACTCGGTTCACATATCGATATTTAGATCTGTTATCGACCGTCCCCAAACAGTACACAAACAAGTTGTTCATTGTTACGTCACAGAATCGCCTGGTTGCTAGAGGGTGCAACTTTTGTGGCATTCCTACAGGAACTGATGTTGTCGCTATGCCGTGAGTTATTGCGATGCCGCTGCTATCTCTCCTATCATGGGAGCCTAAGAGTAGTTTTATCTATAAATCTTTGTGATTTATTTCAAAGTCATTAATTCATAAGCGTATTGTTTTATTGAATATTTATCAGATGTTTCTATAGATAGTGTGTTTAATCGTTTTAAAATAACAATTTCCAATGATGTTCCACTTTTATTTCGTTCATTCACTTTCTCAAGTTTAATGAATTGGCTGAATAAAAAAGATCATTCGGGAATAAATGACTGCAAGTCATCAGAATAACTACATACAATCTTGTGAACACCTTCTTCTAGAACTGCAACGGATTTGACGACTGCACGTACATGTATAAAGTCGATATTATATACTCCTCAAATCATTTCCAAAGCTATACGCCTCATTTTAGATCATGTAGCTCGTTCTTTCTGATTATCACATTGTTACAGTTCAATTATATCAAGTCGTGCGGTACTTGCAATAAATACAACACTCTAATGTACCATATTCTTCTACGGGTGGAAGTAACACATCGTAGCGATGTGCCAGTCGATGTTATGGCATATTAGAATTTTGCACATTCTGTACAGGAAATGCAGTCATTTAGTGATTGTGACATCGTGTGTTATTATCGCAGAGTATTCGCAGCCTCAATATTGATAGAAATCGTTGATTTGTGAATCTAAAAAGTGACGGATAATCATTTGTGAATTATTTTGCATGATATACATAAACCTATGCAAATATTATCAAATGAACTAGACATGGCAATGTGACATTGATTATGTGGTTTAGTGAACATGGAATCGGGGTCGCCACGCCGCGTCGTGTTCGATAAGTGTACTATTCCAAGTATACAACGCGTGTTG